AATTGCCACATTTTTTTCCCTTCTGTATCATGTCTGTGAATCATTACGCCCATCTAGATTTTCTTTTTCTAAGCATTTCTGAGGATTGTCTCTTTGATTTAAAAAAGGCTCACTGTCATGGATCTTGGCAGAGCGTTGGGGTTTGGTCTCGGTGCGAGTGACCGTGTGCTCGCTGCATCTTTGAATGAATCAGAAGGGTTTAACAGCCTGATTTCACTTAGCACTTAGTTCAGGCGTGTGGCGTCCTGCATTGATCACCGGAACTCATATTGTGAGTGTCTTTCAAAGTACAATGCTTACAGCAGCAAACAGCATTGGAGTGCAAGGCCAGTGCTGTATACCATCTGTTTCAAGAGTTATTTCATGTTCTTAATTGATTGATATTCTGTGCAAACATTGGTCTCTGTAGGAAAACACATTTATAACAAAATTTGGCTTTCAATAAATCCCCATGAAAAGCCAATCTGTTCTCAAAGGAAACATCAACAAATCTCAAAAGAGAGAGAGAAGCAAAGAACGCAGACTGAATTAGATAAATGCTTTTAGATTACTGTGCTTCATAAACGTCACACCAAAAAAAGATCATTGCTCATACCATATGTCTGCTCAAGTTGATTTTGCTGTATCTTTAACCAATTCTGTTACAATTATGCAGTGTTAGATTTGAGTGAGTTTACAAAGCACTAGTGAACACCGATTTCTATTTTTTCCTATTGATACAAACGCATGTGAACCCGTGAGCTGTAATTGAGAAATGAACAACCACTCTTTTTGGAGGAGCTGGTGCAGAATCTAAGGCGGTTGAGCTGCATGTAAACACGTCAATCCGATCCTTACGAGACAAGGAGTAGTGACGTGTTTAAGAGCAAGAAATGTTATGGTTAATAAAGTACGTGGCTTTTTCTGTGCAGTGTAAATGGGTAATATTAAATAAATATGGTGACAGTAGTTCAGTTGGTAGAGCATTGGCCTTTGAAGGTCATGGGTTCGAGCCCACCACGAGACTTTCTCCACCGATTCCCACAGATGTCCGCTGTCGATGGGTCCTTGGCACGGCTCCTCCCTGCCTGACCGGGGCGGTTCCCTTTCAGACAGGGGCGACCCAGTGATTGGGCACACCTGGGTATCAATATGTGTCTCAAACTAACTCCTGTCTCTCTCTGCTCTGCTCCCTCCAGGTACTGGATCATTGTTTCTTTTGTGTTTGTGATTAGCTTCGGTTTCACACTCAGACATATACTCACATACACTGGTCTTCATTCACAGACTTGCACACATTCCACTGCGCACATACTCACACCTCGGTCTTTGTTATTATCTATGTTTTGTTGTATTTATTATTTAAAATAAACATGTTAAATACCCATACCTGTCTGTCCCTCATTTTGCCACAAGCCTATAGCCAGCTTGTGACAACACTTAACCTCTGGCAACACCAGGTGCCACAGTGGGCGCCAGCTGCGGCTGTAAAGTGCCAAACTGTATGTTTTCTATATGTTCTCTCATGTCTGCGTAGGTTGTAGGTCTGTATGTTCTCTATATGTATAGGTTTCCTCCAGGTGCTGGGGTTTCCTCTACCACTAAAACATGTCCAAGTTCTGGTCCTGGTTCAGTACTGAGTTTCAACATCTGAAGACTGTACTACGGTGACCACTGCTTTGGACAGATACACGATGGGTCAAATGCACAGGACAAAGTTCCTTAAAGGGATATATAAAGTACACATTAATTTTCTCACTATGGAACATTTGAGGGTTGCTGTGGGCACTAGATTAGAACATACAATAACAGGGCAAAACTAAAACAGGCCAACTATATGTAAATAGTTCAATACAAATACTACGTAAGGCTTGAACTACAGACTATATTAGCATCAATTTTGTTTGGCTTTTTGTAAAATACTTAAAAGTTCAAAAATGGGCTATCTATTTGCCGTAATCTAATCTTTCCATCTGGCAGGAGATGAAGATCGGTTTGGTAATGTCAGGGAAGGGAGAAATGCCTTTCAACACAGCACCGAGGAGCAGAGGAAGGAGGAGGTGGAGGATGAAAGAGACGCTTTTAATAAATTCATCTGAGTGACTTCAAACCTGTTAAAACGCAGCAACAGAAGCAGGAGTGGAGTCTGTGAACTATTCAACACAACTAAAGGTTGAGGCAGGACACATGCTGGCATCAGGAGAGAGCAGAGAGAGAGAGTGAGAGAGAGAGAGAGAGAGAGAAAGAAAGATACAGAAAGCTGAGAGAGCAGTGAGAGATAGAAGAGAGAGCAGAGAGAAGAGAGAGAGAGGAGAGAGAGCAGAGAGAGAGGAGAGAAAGAGCAGAAAGAGAGAAGAGAGAGCAGAGAGAGAGGAGAGAGAGAGAGAGCAGAGAGAGAGGAGAGAGAGAGAGAGAGCAGAGAGAGAGGAGAGAAAGCAGAAAGAGAGAAGAGAGAGCAAAGAGGGAGAGAGCAGAGAGAGAGGAGAGAGAGAGCAGAGAGAGAGGAGAGAAAGCAGAAAGAGAGAGCAAAGAGAGAGAGAGGAGAGAGCAGAGAGAGATAGGAGAGAGAGCAGAGAGAGCAGTGAGTGATAGAAGAGAGGGAGAGCAGAAAGAGACCAGAGAGACCTGTGAGAGAGCTCAGAGAAAGAGCAGAGAGAGAGAGAAAGCTGAGAGAACATAGTTAATGTATGCAATAAATACATCAGTACCTCTTTGTGCGTCTGCCAGGTCTCCTTGTCTAAGCCCAGGGTTTCCAACGTTTTTTTAACTATGATAAATTTGCTGCTGCCCTCGCTACCCCCACCTCAACAGCCCTTACCGTCGCCTGAAATGTAAAGCATGAGTAACGCCTTATACACTCTGCAGGCGTCATGTGAAGCGTAGAGACTTGCTTAGAGACTTGGTAGCAGAGTCAGTTCTAATTTAAAATACATGCCCATGTTATCAGAGAGGGCCACAAACACAACACGAGGAGACGAGAACAGTGGCATGTACCGTCACGTACCGAGCCGCGCTCACCAGCCCAAAATAAGAGCTGTGCGTATTTTTACTCAAGTATCGACAGGTTTTGCTGTTGTGGATATTAATCATGTTTTATTTAAAAGCAGGCATTATTTGTTTGTATCCTACAAACACATGTTGCTTTAGCAAACAACACTTTATGTCACTGCCCGTGATGTAAGCTACGTAACTTGATTTTGATTAATGCTGCCGTAATCTCGTATTGTCTGGGAATAAAATACAAATGTAATTAGAATATATTATATTCTTATCAGACTCTTCTCCAAACGCAATTTAACAAGTAGTTCTATTGTAATACAATCAATTGCAACAAAAATAATCAAGGGCTATATATTTGTTCCACGCAGACAAAACTGAATTGATTGTCTTTGGTCCCCAGAAACAAAGAGAGAGCGTCATCTGTCACGGCGAGTCTCTCTCCCTAAAACCTTCAAACAAGGTCAGAAATCTAGGGGTAATACTGGACTCAGACTTAAATTTTAATAGCCACATCAAATCAGTAACATCAGCAGCTTTTTACCATCTAAAAAACATTGCCAGGATCAAAAACATAGTGTCTAAAGCAGACTTGGAGATTCTTATCCATGCATTTGTCTCCAGTAGGTTAGACTACTGCAATGGCCTGCTCACAGGTCTGTCCAAACAGGCTGTAAAACAGCTGCAGTACATTCAAAATGCAGCAGCTCGAGTCCTGACTAGAACCAGGAAGTACGACCACATTAGTCCAGTTCTCAGGTCTCTGCACTGCAGTGGCGGAGCCAGAGGGGTAGCCAGGGTGGCCACTGCCACCTCTAAAAATATCCTTGCCACCCCCAGTGCCCCCCTCGGAAGACGGCAATGTAATAATGTTAATCTTGAGAATCTTCCGCACTTTTTCCGCTAAAAGCTAAAAATTCCCACGGTTTCCCCCGTCTGTGAACGCACCCTGACTCCGTGTGGAGCCAGTGCTGTATGCTAATGCTTTGGGTTGTTGGACTCAGGTGTGCCCAAGTCGTGATGAAAACAAAGAGGTAAGTTAGCGATGCAGAGCCAACCGTTTACATTTGACACAAAGTATAGACACACGTACTGCAGCGCATTGTTCAGTTTGTAGAACTTTTAGTGTGTGTATGTGTGTGTGCGTGTGCGTGCCTGTGTGCGTGCCTGTATGCGCGCCTGTGTGCGTGTGTCAGCGTGCCAGTGTGTCTGCGTGTGTGTGCGTGCCTGTGTGTGCCAAGTGTATCTGTCTGCGGCCTGCAGTAAGGAGGCGTGTCGGGTAGTAGGCGTGTCGGGTAGTGACGTCACTACCCGACACGCCTACTCCACGTTCTACCCGACACGCCCACTCCACGTTTCTTAAAGGGGTATGAGCACGGATCTATTATAATACGGGTAGAGTACTATTTATGCCCAATAATGAATTTATGCGCCACAATTAATGTTATGGTGCATGTCATTGTCATCATTATTTATAGACTACTTCAGACAATCAATAGGGATTTGAAGCGGCTCAGGACAAAAGTTAATGAGTCAAATAATGCCAGTGCTTATGTCTAATGTGTAGATTCATTTATAAAAGGGGCCTATGGTTGGTGGCTCAAATCCTGGCTGCCCCAAGTGCAGTCTGGTATGTTCTTGAGCAATGCACTTCACCCACATGTGTGGACATAGTGAGAGACTGCTTGCACAGATTAGCTGCCTGGCATCCATTACTGCAACCCAGCTGTGGCACACTGTGTGGACTAAATGAATAAAGACCACAGTGTGGCGTTTTGAGAAACTTGTCAACACAGGATTGAAAAGCACATTAAGCAGACATTCATTATTATTGTGTTTCGTCAAATATGTATGTGGGAGAGGGAGATTAAACAAAAAGAACAAATTGTTATCTGGCATTTTATATACATGCTTTTTCATGAATTTGTGTTCTGTGAATGGCTCTGAAATGTAGAAACTGAAAAAGTTCAACACAAAACAAATATTGCAACACATTCTTTTATTAAAACTGTGAGAGAAAGGCTTCAGAGGAGGCATTCGTGATTCTATAACATCATCAATAACATTAAAATCATTACATGTGCACTTTATGTAATGTCTTATAATGGTAGTCACTTACCAACTGCGTTAGCTGGACAATTTCAGTTGTTTTTGCCTGGTTAGTCATTGTCCAAGGGCGCTGCTGAAAAAGGATGCAAGTTGCTAATGTGTTAGTTCAAGGCCACTATGAATATCACTCAGTAATGATTGTGATGTCACATTTTTTTTACATTTGTCACTTCAGTACACGGTCTCTTCCTCTTCAGTCTGAAGATGGGTGAAAGGCACCCATTGACCATTTGCTTGCCCTCTTTAGTGAAATGAGCAAATCGTCTTCCATGCCTGAAGAAACAAATTATATACTCCAGAAAAGCTGTAAAACTGAAACAACTATATTTTGTCAAACTATTTCACAGGCTTTGGAATAAGCAACAAAAACCATGTAATTGTCTGGTAGCAGTGTTGTTGAAGATATATTTCCACAATAAATCAAATCAACAAACCAAACAAAGGGTAAATCAATCATACCCTTCCAGGTGTAGGTTTTCCACTAGCACTACACACCACCATCTTCGCAGTACTGGCATATCGTCCTTAAAAATGAAGAGCACATCCACACAACCCACAATGATTAACTTGACATAATTTTTTTTTCAATGTTGCAACATGCCCTTCTCAATCCAAAATGAATGTTAAACAGGAATTAAATGGCCCTAAATGGAAAATGGTCACATTTACATAGTGCCTTTCTACCTGCTTTAGGCACTCAAAGCGCTTTACATCAAGGAACCACTCACCCATTTACACTCTTTTTTTACAGTTTATGCAGACACAGGAATTGACCATTTTACATATGTATTTGTAATTCAATGAAGAAATTATTTGATGAACTTACGACAGTGAAGTCAAATGGTGCACCAAGGATTAGGTACCAAGTATACTGAAACAAAAAACATTACTGTGCCGATAATATGTTCAACCAATTGTAAGCGTATGTAATTCTAATCTTACCATTATCATAAAAATGCCACAGTCATTGGCATGTGTCTGTTGGGGAAGTCCCTAAACATGAGTAACACAAATGTTAAATTATATAAAATACAATGTATTATTGAAACAGATTCTAATGCTTTGAACAGATTGTGTGTACTAATAAAAAACAAGTTTGTTACTGTAGTAGCAAAAATCTTCTGCATTGAAGCACATCATAATCACCCAGCAAGTACATTTACTGTAGCCATGCAGGCAACCTGCTTACTGGTGCCACATAAATACAGTGACCCCAGTGGACTGCCTTGAAAGCAGTAATTTGTCCATATTGCAATCTTAGATCCAGTTACCTCTATGTCTTTCCCTGTTTTTTCAATCCAGGGACCTGGAGCCAGTTTCTGCGCAAGAGCACTGTTGAAAAAAAATAACAGTAAGACACTGATAGTGTGTGCTGTCAGCAATTGTAAAGAAGTCAAGTGAACGTGACTTTCAACAACAAATCAAGTCAAACTTGGCAAGTCAGAACATGACTGCCTTCTTCAAAACAAAATAAATGGAGATAAAACATGCAGAAAGGTTTTCCTGAGATTTTACAACTGAAAGTACAGTAGCACTAGATAATTGGTTTCTGTATTTTTAATTAAATAATGTAAATAAATCTCAGTTGTAAAATCACAAACCTTAGTCAAGGGAACGTCTTGACTAGGTATAAGTAAACTGCATATATTTTGCCTGATGCAAGTACGATAACCGTCATGCCCAAAGCCCTGCTTTCTCATGTGATACTGAGAGTCAATGAACAGAATCTCTTTCTGCATTGGCTTCATAACCTGGAGGACAGAGATTTATGAGGGGTTTAATATAGAATAAAATACAACATATTGACCCAAACTGTAATGGGTCTATGAAGATAAGAACATAGAGGGTGAGATAAAGGTTAAGACTTGAAGCGGAAGAAAAAGTAACAGCAAAACATGTGTCTGAATTCTATAATCAGGTGAGGTTTCAGTAATAATATTTCAATCCCACAATGTAACACAACAGAATATGCCAGAAAGCAAAAAACAAAGTTGTGAGTGAGCCTGCGGATGACAGTTTTTCAACTTACACACAACATGAAATGACCGGGGACCCAAAGAGGAGTGACGATAGCATCCATGTTTTGTGAGTTTACCTAAACAAAAAGTACAATTACGTGTCAATTCTGTTGTGTTTTGTCTTGGGACGAAATATACTTACTGGCAAGCCTTCAGCAGGGTTGCAATTAGAAGTTGGCAGCCATGTTGGGGGTATATACAGGTCAACAACATGAATTGATTTTCCCTGAACAAGAATAAACATTCTTAACACAAAAAATATGTGATCCAAAGACAGAATTGACCAAGTGAATAAGCTCCTGGGCCCAATGATAAACTGTCATAGATTGACATGAGTAAACAATTAGGGTTGATAATAGGCACCGTTCTTTGTCCACTGTAAAAGCTGTACCTGTATCTGAAGGATTTCCTGCACGAGGCGCAGACAAGCATTTCCCATCTGTGAATATATGTACTTCAAGTATTAAAGTTTGAAATAATATCAAGGCTTATAATTCCAGAAATAACCGCATGCAACCTACAGCTTGGTCTTCCACTTTAGAGTGGGCACATTGAAATGACATTTTCTAAATTTCTTCCAATCAGTGAGCCACAATTCTGAACTTGGGTACCTCGGAATCCATGTCCTTTCGAAGCCCCAAAGTCTGGAAATTTCCCCTCGTCAGGCAAGTGTTGCAGTCTTTGATTATTATTTCATTTTCTGGATGCTTATCATCTAGAATGTATCCCAGCTATAACAAAAAACATGAGTCGCTTTATTTTTCTTACCTCTAAAATTTACGGTAATTATACATGTGCGAGACAACCAATCTATCTGAACAACTGCTGTGAATAATATACCAGTTGTTGTTGCTCTGGGTGGTCCCCTATTGTCCAGGAGGATCGACATGGTCTGAGGTTGGAGGTCTGTGTTGCGGCTTCACAATACCATCCACAGCCAAGTCTGTCCACATCCTTTGCTAAAAGAGCGACAAAATTGTACTCAAACTGTGTGGCTTCAAAAGGTAATCAAGGCAATACCTATGTGTTCTTGTGCTCCTTGTGACTCTGAATTTCTTGACTCTGTAGTGGTCGCAGCAGAGGAACCAGTGGTCGCAGAGACATTGAAAGGAAGCGAAACACTGGTGGCTGCAGAGACAAAAGGACCTTAATTTAAAAAAAGTAAATAAAACAAAATCAGAATATCACAGAAATAAAACATTAAGTAAATACTTAGAATGGCTTTTCCATTTGTGTCAAGGATGACATTTCCGTTAAAAGCCTTCTTTAAACTGTAAATAGCCTGCTGGTTAAGTCTGTCATTGCGGTGGTGTAAGATGTTACGCATCAGGAATACATGGCTTGATGGGGAAAGAGAGTTCATGAAGTAGTTGTTTTTACGCATTCCAGAGAAGAGCTGCTCAGCGGTCTGTGAATTCAGCCACCCGCCTAGCTCTGGTACCAGTCCAATGAGTCTCAGGGAATCCTTCTCATCTTTTGTATTGAATTGATGAAAAGTGTCATATAGTGCATAATGATCTTCAGAGCCCGTTTCAGGGTGGCCATGAAGATCTGGTGGGCACTTTTTCTTCTGCAACCATGGCAAACTGATTCGTAGTTTACCACTCTTGGCAGATGAAATGTTCTCTGGTGTAGCTGTTGCCAGTCTTCCCTCATGTGGGCTGAAAGGCAGTCTCTCTGGCTCCCGTAGGTTGGTGTGGGTCACTAATCCTCGTGCAAAATCATAGATGGTAATGTTTGGGAAATGTTTAAAGGATAGCAACATATCTGTGTAGTCTCTTGGGCTTTCAGCTCTTATATTGAATTTTATAGAGTTTACAATGCCACAAGGGCACATGATGACTGCCCAGCCACCTTCAAATGGAAAATAAGAACATTGACATGTGTCAGAGTACTTGTAAATATTACATGATATATGTATGAGTAGATGAAGTAGAATTTATGTTAAAAGTATGTTTTACCTGATGCTCCCCAAACAGCCTGAAAAACTTTGTCATAGGTGCTCCTGGTTTTCATCTCGTCTCTCAAACGCAGGAGGAGGTCCATTTTGGATCCTTTTGAGTCAACGCCACATTCACGAACGAGTTTCCTCAAAGTATCAACCTACATGAAAAGTGTCTTTCAAAACAATCTATATGATTTGACAGTATGTGTAGCAAACAAAATATAACAATTCACCTTCAAGTTCATAAGTTCACTTGACAGACGTTCCTCTGATATTTCAATGTCTGTCATTTCTGCGACAGGTTTTTTGGTTGCACATTTGGCAAACTCTGTATTGAGAAGTACTTTCTCAGCTCTCGTATGAGGTCCGATCCATGGTGCCCATTTATCATATGATGGAGGCACTTTACATGGATTGTCTCGATTACCTTCATAGTGAAATCGTGGATTTTGCATTATAAACCAACCATGGGACCAATACAAGAGCATAAATGCAAGTACACGGTTGCATTATTTCAAGATACAATAGATTTCTTAACACCACTGCACAATATTGACTTACGGTACCGAATCAGGGCAATTACTTACTTTTTAAAAACCCTCTGCAAACTATTTCTTTTTCAACAGAGTGCCAGAATTCCTCCGCATCAACACGTCCATCAAAGTTAGATGGGGGATCTTCAATGTCAGTCACTGTGAGACAAGTGGTTAGACACATTCCGTGAAATCTGTGTGGTATCATATTAGAAAGGTCAAAAGTAACAACTTACCAGGCATACTAAACACTCCCTTTTTGTGCAAATCCATTATGACCACAGGTGGATGGACCCCACAATTTACACAAGAATAATTATAATTATGTGCTGTCAGCGCTTCGAAGTGCAGATAGCCATGTAGAATGGCGTCGTGGTTTGGAAATTTGGTATTACTAGTTTGTTCGAGGATGTCGATTGCCCTCCCAACTGCAGTGTGATTCTACGGAAACATTAAGGCAGAAAGTTATGGCAGACAGTTACCTTTCAGTTACCTGCGAGAAGTCAGGGGTGGATCCTACTGCATTTTAGGTTACATTGCTTAATATGGTGAACAATGAGCACACACGTCACCATTTGATTCAAAAAATTAAGAAAAACAATCTAAATGAAAACAATTCATGAAGAATACCTGCACACACTGTCTCAGGAAAAGGCAAAGGTGTAATGTAAGCACAACATGGTCGTCAAAGTTGTGTAGCCCCTCATTCCACTCCTGGTATCGGTAGAAGGTTCCACAAATCCCACACTTCTTACAATATGTAGATACATCTATAGTATTTGAAAACAAGACTTTATGTAAGGACAATACATTTATCCACAATTTCAATAGCTGCAAGAAACATCCTCATAAACTGTAAGGTCTATGGTTAGACTGGAATTGGTGATTTTTATGCAATTGTTAGACATACAGACCTTTTACACCTGTGCTTGTGATAATCTTGGCTTTCTCTGATACCAAGATTGGTTCAGAGAGAGGTACTCTTCCTGGACACACTGCACAAAAAGCCTCTAGAGGGATTAGGTGCTGGGGCAATGTATTTATATTGCATGAAGAAGTGACATCCTTTGGCATCACAGCTGGTAATGTTTTGTTCTTCAGCAAATACATAACCATTGGCATTACACCAAGACCTACTGGTGGATATACAGATCTGGTTTCATGCCCAGTGCTCTCTGCCTCTTGTCCATCTTTTTCAAAAACATCAAACACATCTGAATCTGTTGACCGAACTTTTCGAAAAAGTTGGGGATGCTCTTGGTTCAAGTGCCATTTAGCTATTGATTTGTGTGGACAGTTGTTCTTCTGCTTCGAACAAGGGCAGTGCCAAGTATTATTTTTTTGGTCAAAATACACCACTACTCTGCCTAACCTTGAGTAATAGGCCGTATCCCTATCCTTTACAGACACAAACAGTTTAGATCTTCCCTCTTCAAGAGTGATCTCTTCACTGAGCAGGCATCCCTCAGACTCAGCAGCTATTTGTTGCGAAAGACAATTGTTCTTGGTCTTTTCAGAAATCCACCTTCTCTCAACCATGTCTGTCAGAACCTCTTCTTTGAGAGTTACATGCGTTCCTGAAGACATAGGACAAAAAGAAATGGATTTCTGATGTATGCATTGAAATCCCATTAGGCCACTTCTTATGGCAAACTCTCCTGCCCGCCTACATTGCTCCACCTCACACAACATTTTATTGTTCTCTCCCCAAGAGCAATACTGGACATGAATCGGTGGAAGTGGCCCAGAAAACGTCCTTCTGACGGCGAATATTCCATTTTTTGCGTCTATGCATTGTGATGGCAGGTGGCGACTTGACGTTATGTCTAGGATTGTTGAGGGGTGGCATCGTTGTATATGTACTTTTAGATTTTTTTTATTAACAGTCACATTGCACATGGTGCAGGTAGTTTTCTTTGGCCTTGATTTCCCTAACTTCCACCTGCTTTGAAAGGTGGACATTGTTGGATAATAAGGTGAGGCTGCCAAGGCAGGTGAGGCTGCCAAGGCAGGTGAGGCTGCCAAGGCAGGTGAGGCTGCCAAGGCAGGGGAGGCTGCCAAGGCAGGTGAGGCTGCCAAGGCAGGTGAGGCTGCCAAGGCAGGTGAGGCTGCCAAGGCAGGGGAGGCTGCCAAGGCAGGGGAGGCTCCAGAGACGGATGAGGCAGAGGAGGCTCCACGGGCACAGGACACTGATGAGGCAGGGGAGGATCCACAGGCACGAGTAGCATCAGAGACAGAGGAGGCTGCAGTATTGATGGGGGAGAGACAAAACAAGCATATTGAAACTGAAGACTGTGAGAAATGAAGATGCAATGTATGCTAAAGATTAAAAAAAGAAATCGAATCAAAGGAATACCTGAAGTAACGCTGCAGGTCTGAAGATGCTGTATGAACAGGTTTCTTTTGGACATTGTGCGGCCACAATAACAGCAGTGATGGTGTGGCGTTGTAACACAGTCACGAAGGCACTTAAACATTTTGTACCCTGCAAACATGTATAAATCAGTTCCTGTACATGTTCACCAATACGACATACAGCCTTAGGTATAAACTTGTGACCTTAAAGAACAAATTTACAATATTGCACAACACCTGGATTCGAAGTTAAAACATACCTCCATGACAAATAGATGCCCTCTCATGGGTTTGCACGTGTGCGACGATTTGTGCTTCTCCACCATGTTTTAAACAGGTTACACACGTGAGTGTGTTCCCCTGCTTCAGCACTGGAGCTCTATCTCCATCACTGACAATAGTCAGATGTAACTGAAAGCAGACATAAACATCCATTTGTGCACACTCAGAAACACAAATATCTTGAAACATCATCCAATAACTATGGTCAGAGACTTCTGTAACTGTGATAGGAAACATCGTGAGCTATGATAGGATTAGATTGCGATTTGGCCTACGTGCAGGACTGTATAAGGACTCTGAAGATGACTCCATGTTTTGACTATGATTTGCACTGTCTCTGTGTGACACGTATGTCTTTCCATGTGTGACGTGACAATGACTATATAAACTGTGTACTGCCTTTATTCTGTTCTGGGAGAAAGAAACAATTGAAACCACTGGAACTTGAGAGAAACTTAAATAAACTTCCAGAGTTTGGCGCACCACGATCCGTCTCTGTCTGCTTCATCCCTGACAGCTACATTGCATAATTACGGAAGCTTGTTAGGTTCACTTGTGAGTGTGTTTTTTTCCGCTGGTATCATGTTATTTCATGAAACACAACTATCATGTTATTTCATGATACACAACTATCATGTTATTTCATGATACACAACTATCATGTTATTTCATGATACACAACTATCATGTTATTTCATGATACACAACTATCATGTTATTTCATGATACACAACTATCATGTTATTTCATGATACACAACTATCATGTTATTTCATGATACACAACTATCATGTTATTTCATGAAACACAACTATCATGTTATTTCATGAAACACAACTATCATGTTATTTCATGATAAATTGGTATCATGAAATAACATGATAGTTGTGTATCATGAAATAACATGATACCAGCGGGAAAAAAACAACACACTCACAAGTGAACCTAACAAGCTTCCGTACACATGGACTCTTAGAAGAAACCCATACGAATTGCTATCTCTGCAATGTATTAGTTCTCTACAATGTATTAGTTCGCTTCACATTTCTAGTCAGGGTGATGTGCATTTATTCATTAATACACTGTAACTTGTGGGACGGCCTAAAAATAAATAAAACACGTTGTTGGTTGTCACTTACTGTTTGCGTACGGTCTGCCATGTCTTCTCTTCAACGGATACACTTGCAGAAGTTCACGTGGATTCAAAATTCGTGTAGTAGGCGTGTCGGGTAGTAGGCGTGTCGGGTAGTGACGTCACTACCCGACACGCCTACTACCCGACACGCCTCCTTACTGCAAGCCGCAGACAGACCCTTCTCGTGTGTGCCAGTGTGGGTCTGCGTGCCTGTGTGTGTGTGCGTGCCTGTGTGCGTGTGTGCGTGCGGGGTGCATGCGTGTGTATTTTCCATTATTAATTGCCCATCGTATCATCGCCCTCTTCCCTTTAGTGTAAACATGAAGAGAAAAGGAGGAAACATTGCCTACAGGCCTTTTTTTGTTAGGAAAAGGCCTGTAGATCAGGATGATGAAACCTCACCTGAAGGTCAGACTCGGAGGCAGTATGTTTTGAGATGATGAGGAATTTGTTGTGTTGTATTAAAATATAGCTTATATAATTGAGTTTCAGAGAATGAGAGGGTGTCGCAGACAAGTGCAGGATTGTCTATTGGCAGAAGGCGTTTTTTCACACACAAAAAAGAAAAAAAATAGCTAAGATTATGGATGATGTGCAGTCGCTTAACCCCAAAATATTTTTGAAAGAAGAGCCCCTGTTTTCATTTGGCAGAACCTTTCAGTCAGATATAGAGGACCTTAAGCATGAGGTACGTCAAACTAGGCGGCTTCTTGGGAGGAAAAAATTGATAAGAGAGACCCTATTGGACTTCCTTGTCCTTTTGGAACGTTTGGAAAGTATTTCATGAGCTTTTGAGGCTTGCAAAGATCTTTTTAATACCTGTCAGTACTGCGTCGTGTGAAAGAAGTTTCTCTGCCCTAAAACTTATTAAAAACCATCTCAGAACTACCATGGCAGATGATTGAGTCATCTTGGTATCCTCAGTGTAGGGTAAAGGAGGGCTAAATATGGATGAGTTTGTCAACATCTTTGCTGCTTTACACCAGAACCGCAGGAATTTGCTAAATTTGTTAAAAGAAAAATGTAATGCAATGTTTGAATGATGTTATTTTGCACTTTTTTGTTCAGACTACTATTTAAATACACTTTTTTGCTTTGTAGTTTCCAAGTGTGCTCTCAGTTCACTTTATATTAAAAATAATGACAAGATTAAGACTAAAATGTATCGTTTAGCCAGTTTTTGTGTGAAATAAAATTTCGGAATAGTATAAATGTGGACCCCTTAAAAAAACCCTTGCCACCCCCTGGCCACCCTCTGTTTAAAAGTCTGGCTCCGCCACTGCTGCACTGGCTTCCTGTGGCTCAGAGAATAGACTTTAAAACAGCTCTGCTTGTGTACAAGTCTCTCCATGGCCTCGCACCAAAATATATTAGTGACATGTTAGTCCCATATGAACCAGCCCGGACTCTGAGGAGCACAGGGACTGGACTCCTGTTAGTGCCCAGAGTCAGAACTAAACATGGGGAGGCTGCTTTTCAGATTCATGCTGCTAAAATCTGGAACAATCTTCCTGAAGATGTGAGACAGGCCTCCTCTCTGACAATGTTTAAAACCGGGTTAAAAACAGTTCTGTTTAGTTGTGCATACAACTGAGGGATTTTATATTTTTATCTTTCTTTTTAATGTTCTGTGATTATTTATGATTTTAATGCAATCTTGTTCAGCACTTTGAGTTGCCTTGTGTATGAATTGTGCTATACAAATAAACTTGCCTTGCCTTAAAAAAAAAAAGAAAAAAAAAGGGAAATCATCCCGCAACCCCATGGGGGTTGGGACCCCCACTTTGGGAACCACTGCTCTAAGCTACAATATACTCATAGACTTGAGTCTTCCCAGCCAAGCCGCCCCCGCACCAGCCTTAACCCCGCACCAAGCCGCCCCGCACCAAGCCGCCCCGCACCAAGCCGTCCCCCCTCCCAAGCCGCAACGCTCCCGCTCCACAACGCCCCGCACTACGCCGCACCAGCCAGTAACCGTACCACGTAGCACCGCGCAAAGGAGGTGGCGCCGCCGTGTGATGATTGGTTCCCGTAGCCATAGAAGAATGTTAGTCAAATTGTAATGAATATGATTAATTAGAGCTGGTTTGGCTCCCCATGTAAACTTTGAATCAGTCTGTAGGGGGCGCTAATGGGCCAATTTCAAATATTTCACTTTCACCTGACCTAAACCCTGGAGTTGAACAATGGATTCAAGTTTAATGCAAATCAGTCTTTGTTTGTGCAAACGGGGAAAAAATTTATGTTGTCAAAAACAGCCAAAAAAACCCTCACATTTTGCCGTTCCGCTGCTCAAACAACGTTTGACTGATCAAAAATTCCCTGAAGTAATTTTGAAGGTAAATGTGTTGAGATGATTTGGAACAATTTTGAGGCCAATCGGTGAAACGGCCGAGGAGGAGTCGCTTTCCCAACCAACGTTTATGAAAATGATTGGTTTTAATTTTTCCATTTTGCAATGAAATTAATGGGCTTCCTGTTTGTCCGAGGGATTAGCCATAATAACATTTTTTCCATGTCTTGACTTGAGGAACATGTGTACCAAATTACATGGTTCTACGACAATTTTGACCTCGAACCCCTCCCATAGGCATTTTTAAATTGGCTGTTGTAGGTGGCGCTATAGAGCCAATTTCAAAATTTAAACTTTCAAATGACCTAGACCCAAGAGTTGAACCATGGATTCAAGTTTTGTGCAAATCACACTTTGTTTGTGCAAACGGAAGCAATTTTTCTATTGTCAAAAACTAAAAAAAATACGCCACTTTTTGGCGCTCCGCTGCTCAAACAACGTTTCACTGATCAAAATTCCCTGAAGTCATTTTGATGGTACATGTGTTGAGATGATGTGGAGCGATTTTGAGGCGAATCGGTGAAACGGCCGAGGCTGGTTTGATGTTTGTGTGAGGTGTATATTTGCAATGAATGGGGAGCGTTTGTCGTCGCCACGGCAACAGGGTAAAAAATAAGCCTTGGACCCAATTGACTTTTTGAATCAAGAGGGCAAAACAGATTTATGTGCAAAATTTCAAACATTTTGAAAAAACTAAATTTGAAAATGCCCATCTAAAACTTTGAAATAGTCTGTAGGGGGCGCTAATGTGTCAATTTGAATTAATTCACTTTAAAACGACCTAGACCCTAGAGTTGAACAATGTATTAAAGTTTTGTGAAAATCAGACTTTGTTTGTGCAAACGGGAGCAAATTTAATGTTGTCAAAAACGGCCAAAAAAAGGTCACATTTTGCCGCTCCGCTGCTCGAACAATGTTTCACTGATCAAAAATCCCTGAGGTCATTTTGAAGGTACATGTGTTGAGATGATGTGGAGCGATTTTGAGGCGAATCGGTGAAACGGCCGAGGAGGAGTCGCTTTCCAACCGACATGTATGAAAACTTTTGCTGTTCATTTTTCCATTTTGCAGTGACATTTATGGGCTTCCTGTTTGTCAGAGGGCGGAGCCATAATAATATTTTTTTCTTGTCTTGACTTGAGGAACATGTGTACCAAATTTCATGACTCTACAACAAACTTCATCTTCAGAACTCCCATAGGGGTATTATTTTGGCTGTTGTAGGTGGCGCTGTTCTGGCATTTTTTGAGTCCCATTAAAATAAACACCAAAATATCAAATTTTTC